TCCGCACAACGGCAGGGTGCCCCGTGCCGAGGGGAGAGGGGGCGCAGCACTGCACAGGCTCACCTCACTGACCTCAGTCCGGTTATTTCTGACTCGCACGTGCGTGACAAGATGGGAATTTAGCCCTTAGCTCTGCTGTGCTTTCCATTATTTAAAGCATTGTGCTTTGTTTAAATTCCACTATTAAGTTCATTAACAAAACCTTTTTTTAAAAGAAAGACGCGGTGACAGCGAGCGTACAGAATGATGCCATCTTCTTTTTTTCTTCACATCAGTGAATAACAAAAAACACTGCATGCAACCCCGGATTGGAAGTGAAAACAACCCCACTCTGCAATAAGCGGCACTCCACAGACAGAACGAATCCATCCGTTCTGGATTTGTCATCCCCACTTCTGCACTTGCTGCACACCCCGACAGCCCCGCTCGCCGGCGGCTTTCCCACGCGGGTATCTCTGACACAGACCGACTCCTCCTCAGGGTTTCCTTAGAGCATTCTGCGGAGGGATGGATTTTGCACGCCCCCAAGCACGCCCCCATCAGCCTCTACAGAGCTCAGGCAACTGCCGGGCTAGGAGAAAGGCACTGGCGACGACTGAGCTGCAAACCGCGAACCCTTACACAATCTGTTCCCTAAGCCGCACTAAAAACGGACGAGGAGCTTTCCTGAGCGGGGGCAGGAAGGGTACGCATTCACCCCACAGCACCTACCAGTCACCCTGAACACTCACAAGCAAGAGACGCCGAGGTCTTGTGCGACACCCCAGCGCCCCACCAGGCTGCAGCCACCACGCTCCGCAGGTGAAGGCGGCAGCGACAGAGACGGGGGCCCCCAGTGCCAGCCCCAAAGGCCAAACTCCACCCGGAATACAACTCCAGCTCCACCTGTGCGAGGCTGGAGGAGTCCGGCTCCCTCCAGGTCGCTCTGACTGTGAGACTCCTCTGCTGCAACGCGGCTGAGCAAAGAAACAACGGGTTTTTCTCGGTATGAGTGAGTCATAGATCTGACGTTAGAATTTCGGCCTCGTGTTTTCCAAGTGCAATCGCTTGCAAGCATATGGTACCCTGGGCTGGGGATCTCTCCTGGCACGCGCCCCTGTCAGCAACAGATTAAACCGGCAGGGAGTTTGGCTAAACACAGTCTGAAGAAGATATAAATCAATCCTAATGAATCTTCACCCCGTGTTAACGACAGCAACAGCGAGCTTTTAACTCCTTGGAACAGAGCGGGGTTTTGACACAAGGAATCCAAATGTGTTGAAGTTAATGGGAATTTTAGAAGTGATGAGAATTTCATTCTGTCAACATGAAATGCATTAAAGCTTAAGGAGTTTTATTGGGCTGAAAGAACAGAAATAGAATCATAGAATCACAGAATCGTTTGGGTGGGAAAAGCCCTTTAAGCTCCCCCAGCCCAACCGCTCCCCTACCCCTG